CGAACCCCTCCCCCCCCCAGTTCATCATGAAAAGGGGGGGGTCACTACCGGTTCGAACCCCCCCCCTCCCTCGAAAACCGGGGGGAGTCACTACCGGTTCGACCCCCCCCCTCCTCGAAAACCGAGGGGGGGTGCGGACAGTGGTGGGGACGGTGGTGGTGGGGACGGTGGTGAGGGGACAGCGGGACAGTGGTTGGGACAGTGGGACAGTGGTGGGGACTGTAGTGGTGGGGACAGTGGTGAGGACAATGGTGGGAACAGTGGGGACAGTGGACAGTGATTGGGACGGTGGTGGTGGGGACAGTGGTGTGGGGACAGTGGGAGGTGGAAACAGTGGGACAGTGGAGGGTACAGTGGTGGTGGGGACAGTGGTGAAGGCGGTGGCGAGGACGGCGGTAGGACAATAGGACAGAGGTACAGTGGGGACAGTGGTGGGGACAGTGGGGACAGTGGTGGGAACAGTGGGACAGCTCAGTGGGACAGCGGAGGAGTCAGTGGGACAGTGGGGACAGTGGGGATAGTCGGGCAGTGGTTGGGGCCGTGGAGAAAATGGGGAGAGTGGAACCGTGGTGGGAACAGTGGTGGGGACTGTGGGGACAGTGCGACAGTGGTGGGAGCACTGGTGGGGACAGTAGGGACGGTGGTGGAACCAGTGGGGACAGTGGTGGTGAGGACAGTGGTGCTGGGAACAACAGTGGGGGATGTGGCGCGGACGGTGGTAGGGACTGGGAGTCGTTTGTTGGCGGTGAGTGACCCCCCCTCCGGTTGTCGAGGGGGGGGGGGGTTCGAACCGGTAGTGACCCCCCCCCGTTTTCGAGGGGGAGGGGGGGGGGGGAGGGGTTAGGGGAGGGGGGGGTTTTGCCGGGGGAGGGAGGGAGGGGGGGGGGGGGGGTTCCAGCAGGGGGGGGGGGGATCTTCGGAGGGGGGGGGGGACCCCGGGTTCCGGAGGAAGAGGGGGGCAATTTTCCACAGTAAAGCGGCGGTGGATCACGCTCTCTCTCTCTCTCTCTCTCTCTTTTTTTTATTTTTTTTCTTTTCTCTCTCCTCTCTCTTCATTATATATATATAATATATATATTATACATATCTATATATTATATAATTATTTATATATATATGCAGAGCCCGGGGAAAAAGTGAGAGTCGAAGCCACCCAGTGCCACAGCATAGCAGCAGTCGTAACAGCCAACCCATTTTCCCAAGTTTCAGAGCCCAGTCGATGTGTTTCGGAGCAGACGAGAGTTCAGTTCCCTGGAAGTGCCCCCCCCCCAGGACCTGTTGGAATGAAAGCGCGTCGCAGGGTCAGGTACAAAAGGCCTGGCCGAAGCTTAGACTTAGGCGGTGGCGTTATTGAATGATCTGGCGTGCCGGATTCTGTAGTATATTAAATGTATATATATATATATATATATATATATATATATATTTATAATACACATGTCCCTACCATCCCCGCTTCCTGTTCTCCGCTTCCTCCCGTGCCTCGTGTGTGTGTGTGTGTGTGTGTGTTGTGTGTGTGTGGGGCGTGTGTGTGTGTGTGTGTGTGTGTGTGTGTGTGTGTGTGTGTGTGTGTGCGTGTGTGTGTGTGTGTGTGTGTGTGTGTGGTGTGTGTGTGTGTGCGTGTGCGTGTGCGTGTGTGTGGTGTGTGTGTGTGTGTGCGTGCGTGCGTGCGTGCGTGCGTGCGTTGCGTGCGTGCGTGCGTGCGTGCGTGCGTACGGTGTGTGCGTGTGTGAGTGTGTGTGTGTATGTGCGTTTGTGTGTGTGTGTGTGTGTGTGTGTGCTGTGTGTGTGTTGTGTGTGCGTGCGTGCGTGCGTGCGTGTGCGTGCGTGCGTGCGTGCGTGCGTGCGTGCGTGCGTGCGTGCGTGCGTGCGAGCGAGCGAGCGTGCGTGCGTGCGTGCGTGCGTGTGTGTGTGTGTGTGTGTGTGTGTGCGTGCGTGCGTGCGTGCGTGCGTGCGTGTGTGTGTGGTTTGTGTGTGTGTGTGTGTGGTTGGTGTCCTCGTGCCTCTCCCGTACCCTCTTCGTCGCTTTTCCCCCGCGGACGTGCCAGTTGAGGTGCCTGTTTTCTCATTCCCTAGTGTGGCAGCGCTGTCCATTCGGAATGTTCTGCTGAGGCAACTCGGCCGTAACGTTGCCCATGGTGCCCCCAGATACCACAACCCGGCGTAACGGGGATGCCGACTTTCACATACGCTCGATGGGGGTCTGCCTCCTGTATTGCGCACGGCGGCCAGCATGCAATCGTTCTGCTATGCATTCCATGCCATGAGCTGAGCACCACCACCACCACCACCTCCTCCTCCTTCTCCTCCTCCTCCTCCTCCTCCTTCTTCCTCCTCCTCCTTCGTCCTCCTTATCCTCCGTCCCCCCCCCTCCACCTCCTGCTCCTCCTCCTGTTCCGCCCTTTTTTCTCCCTCCCTCTCCCTCTCCCTCCCCCCTCCCCCCTCCCCCCTCCTCCCTCCTCCGCCATGCTCCTCTCCCCCCCTGCCCCCCGCCCCCCAGAACTCGCAGCCGCCCCACCTCGAGTCCATGCTCGGGGCGTCGGCCCTCGAGAGCGCGCGCTCCGCCGACAGCGTGCCCCTGCCGCAGCGGCCCGACTTCCGGCAGGTGGTCAGGCCAAGCCACGTCCCCTCGCTCGACCTGGCGCGCCTCGGCGAGGAGGAGGAGGAGGAGGAGGGGGAGGACCGTCCTCCTTGTTTTCCGTTCGTGCCGAGGGCCACCACGCCTTCACATGGTGTATACGTCTGGGTGGTGTAAGACAAATCCCGGGGGGGGGGTCCATCGTGTTTGTACACCACCACCGTGCTGCCATAGGGTGTTTGGGAGCAGTTCTTCGTCTGAATGCGGCCGCCATCTGCGCGCATGACCACGCTGCAAGTACTTGCGCTCCGCGGGGGCAGGCAGTGGCACCCCTGTCAGGGCGGTCGCGCGCAGGATGTGTTCCTTTCATATGGCCGCCTGGCGGTGGTGTACATATTGGGGCCCCGCAGCCATTCGCAGATCCTCATCACCTCCCACCCCATCCCCGACCTGATAGGTGTATATTCAGTGCCCTCTGCGGGCCTTGCCTCTCCACCTTGGCGGGGGGTGCTGAGGCCATCGAAGGTTCTGAACGTATGCCGATGTGATTAATAGCTGGCCGAGCGTGGCTTGTAAGTGGATCGCAAGTGCCCCCGGTGGCTCAGAAGGGGTTCGAATTCCTTCCTTACGCCAGTTAGGTAGTTCTAGCTCACTCATAAACCATGCGACGCCACACAGAATCCACCTTGGCATCCACTTAGAAACTCTCTATTCCCTGAGCACCTCCGCGGTCATCCAAGCATGCATGCTCGCGTCGCGACGAAATCATAGCGGAAAGTGCTTGGCCGTTTTCGACCTCCTGGGGCCATCGCCAGGCGCTGGGACCGTAACGTAAGCGGCCCAGGATGGAAAACCGGCCCCAGGGAAAGGGTCGGCACTTCTGGGGAATCGAGGCTTCGGAAGTCTGGGCCGTGGGTGGAAAACCATCGTGCGCGGGGATCTCACAGGAAGAAAGGATACCGATACCTTTGCCCTGGCCTCGTTTTCGCCCGTCTGGTCTGTCTGGGGAGGCCCTCCTCTCCGCGGCTTGAGTTGCTTCGAAGTTCGGTGAGAACGCGCCCCGGGAAAGGTCTGGGGAACAGCGGTACCGGTATTTGTGCTTCTCCTTGTGGACGACGATCAATGGAGAGGAAACATGTTGCCAAATAGTTTCCAGGTGTCTAAAGCATGTTCTAAACATGTTTCAAACATGTCAAACACATGTTTCAAACATTTTGAGGACATTCTTCAAAAGTTTGAAAACATCTTAATTCAATGATCGGATTGATGGGGTGTCCATTGTCATGGTATCCACAAGTCCGGGGGGCAGCGGTACCGGTATTTGGGTTTCTCCAGAAGCCTGCGGCTTGGATTTCTTGGGTCGCGATCCCATAGGTGCAGGGCGTTTTTCACGGATGCCCCGGGCGATGCGCGTCCGTGCGACCGCGTATCCAACCGAGCACATGCAGGCGTGAACGCCGCATTGCTGGCGAACAGAAGGATGAGATGTAGGATTGGGTCTCAGTGTGTGTGTGTGTATATTTGTGACGGGTGTGTCGAAATATGTGGGGCGCATGCGGGCCGTGCCAATGGGGCTTTCGGTGGAGCTCCCCATGGGGCCACGAAGCGTGCGAGGGACGTGGCGGAGTCGGAGGGGCGACGCCCTGCTGCCCCGACTCTGGGGTTTGCGGTGGGGCTCCTCCTGGGAAGCCACGGAGCGTGTGACGGATGTGCCGGACGGAGTGGGGCGACGTCACGCGGGCCTTGCCATCGGGGCCTTCGGTTGAGGCCTCCATGGAGCCGCGAAGCGCGTGAGCGGTTTGCCGAGTGGCGGGCGTGGCGACGCCGTGCGGGCCCTACCGCTGGGGCTTTCGTTGGAGCTTCCTATGAGGTCAAGAAGCGTGTGATGGGGTCTCCGAATGAGGATCATGCAAATGAAAAGGATGAGGGAGGGATGAGGAGCAGGAGGAGGAGGAGAAGGAGTATGAGGAGGAGGATGACGAGGAGGAAGAGGATAGTAACCTCAGCAATAACAATACGAAGTGGAGGAAGACTACGAGATATAATATTACGAGTAAGACGACTAATCATAGCACTAACACTAATATTGTTAATCCGACCGATCATGCTAAGACTATGCTTAAACATTATAAACTACTAATGATAATACGAGTGTTAGGGATCATAGTCGTATTCTTAAACATTCTGATAATATGTTACAACTACTACTAATCACATAAACACTAATCGTACCAATACTGATATCGAGATGAATATTTCACAAGGCTACTGATCGAATGAAACCTTTGCATCTGTTTGAGGATACTATTAAGAAGATGACTAATATTAACATCACAATACAACCCATGATACGAATATGAGAAGGATAATGGTTACTAGTAATACGCATGTCGATACTAAGCTTATTTCTACTCTTAAGACGACGTGTAGTGATGCGTCTACGAATACTATTATATAGACTAATGATGAGATGGTTACCACCACCATTATTAATACTTGGGGATACTATTCGTTAGAAGACAAATTCGCTTAGTACTCGTACGACAAGTACGAAATCGAACCCCCATGCGACGAATGGCACGACGACAACTACTAATACGACTTATGCGAATGCGACTTCTACTAATCGTGTTACGAATCGCACTGCACTACGATTATGAGTGATACCATTCATAGTTATAATGATGCTCGTACTCGGATTCAGACTAAAAATTATCCCAGTGCGACCCTACCTAGAAGTTGAAGCCCCTAGGAAAGCAGCATTAGTAGCACCAGTAAAGATACGCTAAAGCTAAGCGACTGCCACAGATAAGTTGCTAAGCTAAAGCTCAGCTAAAGCTCAGCTAAAGCTAAGCTAAAGCTAAGCTAAAGCTAAGCTAAAGCTAAGCTAAAGCTAAGCTAAAGCTAAGCTAAAGCTAAGCTAAAGCTAAAGCTAAAGCTAAGCTAAAGCTGAGCTAACGCTAAGCTAAAGCTAAGCTAAAGCTAAGCTAAAGCTAAGCTAACGCTAAGCTAAAGCTAAGCTAAAGCTAAGGTAACGCTAAGCTGCAGGTAAGCTGCAGGTAAGCTAAAGCTGAGCTAAAGCTAAGCTAACGCTAAACTAAAGCTCAGCTAAAGCAAAGCTAAACCTAAGCTAAAGCTAAGCTAAATCTACGATAAAGCGAAGCTAACGCTGAGCTAAAGTTAAAGCTAAGCTAAAGCCAAGCTAAAGCTAAGCGACTGCTAAACTAAAGCTAAGCTAAAGCTACGCTAAAGCTAAGATAAAACTAAGCTAAAGCTAAGCTAACACTAAGCTAGCACTAAGCTAACACTAAGCTACAGCTAAGCTAAATCTAAACTAAAGCTAAACTAAAGCTAAGCTAAAGCTAAACTAAAGCTAAGCTAAAGCGAAGCTAAAGCTAAGCAAAAGCTAAGCTGAAGCTAAGCTGAAGCTAAGCTAAAGCTAAGCTATAGCTAAGCGACAACTAAGCGAATGCTAAACTAACGCTAAGCTAAATCTAAGCTAATCTAAGCTAATATGCGATACGCTAAGCTAAGCTAAGCTAAGCTCAGCTAAGCTAAGCTAAGCTAAGCTAAGCTAAGATGAGATACGCAACGCTAAGCTAAGGGGACGTACCTGGGGGAACCGCGGGGCGGGGACTGGGGGAACCGCCCGGGGCGATTTACACTGCCCGCCCCTTTAAGCTAAGAGAGTAAGAACCCTCTAGGCAGAGCCTAGGTAGGGAATACTATTGATTCGGCAATTTAACCGTACTGTAGTACAAACGACCATGCCAACACTAATAATATGGATGCGACTGCGATTGCGACGATTACTAATACTTATATTAAGAAGAGTCAGGGCACGCATGCTACTACTACAAAGAGGAGGAGCAGGAGGAGGAGGAGGAGGAGGAGGAGGAGGAGGAGGAGGAGGAGGAGGAGGAGGAGGAGGCGGAGGAGGAGGAGGAGGAGGAGGAGGGGGAGGAGGAGGGGAGGAGGAGAGGAGGAGGAGGAGGAGGAGGAGGAGGGGAGGGGAGGGGGAGGGGGAGGAGGAGGGAGGAGGAGGAGGAGGATGAGGACGAGGAGGAGGAGGAGGAAGGGGAGGATTTTTTTTTAACATCAACAACTGCCAAGCCGTACTCTCTGGGGGGACGGCGCCTCCCCCCAGAGGAGGGGCAAGGCTGGGTGGCGCCTCAAGCCACTTACGCCACCAGCCCTGCCCCGCCGCTGACGTCACGGCAACTGCGGGGGGACTCACGCCGAACGGCTGCCAGTCCCGCAGTGCCGTGGAAACAGCGGCGACCCCCTCGCCCACACCCGCATTGGGGGGAGCAGGGGGAAAACCATCTCAGCCTGCTGCGTTCGCTCCACGCTGATGGCAGAGCGAGCACACGGTTGGGCCGCAACACGACGCCAAAAGGGCTGGATGCTCCTCGACCCCCGCAAGGGGGACGAGACAAAACTAAAACACATCCCTAGAAAGGGAAAGCGCTCTGAGACCAATGATTTCGAACAATCCGTTCAAAAGTTGGGGACGGGCAAAGACGAGGGCGCAAGGGCGGGAAACGCCCCTGCTGGCAGCTCTTCAGGTCGGCCTACCCCCAGGTTCTTCCTTGGGTGGCGGCCTTGCATGACTTTGTTAAAATTCGTGCGGCCATGGCCGCGCAACTCGTTAGGACATTCCTTGGACAAAGCAGTCTTGACAAACACAGCTTGATGCATAAATCCCCCGCACTTGGGGCAGAAATAAAAATCAGAACCATCTGTGCACGGCAGAATAACAACGCTGTGCGAAAGAGAGTCGGCGATGTCCAGATCTGCTCTGGCAACGCCGGTGCACGAACCACCAGGCGGCTTGACACAAGAACGAGAGCCTAACCTGCAAACAACGCACCTCCACACAGAGTGTTGCCACTGCCACTGATGCTGGACCACGGGCTCCTCGGGACCACGGGTGGTGCGACAAGGAGCGACAAACGGAGCACCCTCCAAGTTCAATCGTGGCCACATTGGGAGCAACTTGGCCGCTAGTCGGCACACAACTTTACTAATCTTGACAGCACGGTTCACTCGCTCTTCTTCTTCGGGCGAAGGTTGGGGGTGAGAGCGGGCCCCGCGCTGCG